CCTGCCACTAATAATATAATGCTAATTCTGCTCTTATTCTAAGAAGGTAGAGGTCCGTGGCATTGCTAAGATGTTTTACTCATCTAGCTGATAAGAGAGTTAATAACTTCACCAAGAAAATTTAACAAGAAAGCACAGTAACGGCCTTTCTGATGAGAAAGAGGAATTCTATATATATATTTTAAAAACCCTAATAATTGAACCCAACCTCAACTGGGGCCCTCACAATTCCTATAATAGGGATCAAAGCTGAAATTTAAGCTCCTTAATCTTTGGAAAACTTACCAAACAGAAAATAACTTTTGCTCATTCATTCTTGACCAGCAAAATGTCAGTGAATTCTTTGCCTTTCCTAAGATACATGTGTCTGGTATCACTGGGCAAGTAGTTACAGGGAAAGGGACAAAGGGGTTCTTTCAAAGTTTTAATTATCTGATTCTATAATTGCTTAAACATCAAGACATCCTGTTCCTGGAGTAAAAGATGATACTAAATTAACTGTATCTTGCTTATTTGGTTTGTTTCTTAAGTAATTCTATCTCAGGCCTGATTTGACTTTATATTATAGGTATAAAGGTACAAACGCAAAAGGAAAAAAAAACAGTGTTGCTTTAATACCAAGAAGACCATATACTTCATGATCAGAGAAACTTGAAATCAAACTTCGGTTTCCTCAAAGAATATTACAGAAAGAACTTGTCACCATGGAGGAAAATTTATAATCATTTGATTTTGTTTCTCATTTGTTGCCAAATCACAGGCAAAAGGTATTATTCTGAGGTTCGCATTTATTTGTCCTTTCCCATGTAGTATTCATGGAATGAAGTTTTCAAAGCATGGTATTTTGGGGGCATGATTTGAGCCCATTTACAGGTGCAACATATCCTCACAGCATCATACTGACAGTTAATTTCATTTCCATGCTAGTCTTTCTTTTCAGGAAAGATGACGTAAAGAATAATCATTTTTCTGCCCATGCATTTCTAACAAATTAGAAAGAGTAAACATCTGTGCTAATTCTCACCTCTGTTGTTAACTGGAGTCTCTTACATTTGATAGGGAAAAACTAACTTCAAGGATTATAATTATTGTAAACATGAAAGTTTCTAAAGACAATTCAATATACACAGAACCATATGGAAAAGGTTATGTTTTAGAGAGTGAGATTAGAAAGGTGATGAGAAGGAAATTATAACATCAATTATTTTAATATTTGTCTGCCATTTATCTTTTGTGCAGTACCTTTTAAACTAAACAATAAACAATCAATGAAGTTTAAAAAATAAGGCAGATCAGTTCACAGACAACAGAGCTTAGATGGAAACAGCATCAGGTAGAGAAATGTCCAGGCAAGAGCACTGAGGTAGAGAAAAAGGAAGACAGCATTGGTCCCAGGGGACCAAGGGAAGTAACCAGAACCTCTAAATACACTGAGGTGACTCTAGGCTGCCAGAGGTTTCCAGGAGAAAGAATGTTCCTCTCACTACTCTCTAGTCTCAAAGTTTCTTGGTTACTCAGTCATAGGCCACAGCCTGAAAGACTTCAACTCTGTGGACAACAGCTCACATAAAGAGTTGTACTGAGTCCTCCACATTTCCTCCAAGGAAAGCACCTACATGAGACCAGGGAGTGATGTCATGACATTCTGGCTAACCCCAAGCCCTGCAATGGGAGCCTCCACACAGTTTAGGGCCTCTCAGTGGGGCCTCCCAAAGTACTATCCTGGGAGAATGCACAACATAAACCTCCACTGCTTCCCAGCAAAGCCCAGCCTTAAGGCCCTATGGTGCACAATCAAAACGTCTAAATCAAAATTTAAATCTAAACAAATCTCCTACAACACAAAGGGCACCTGCACCCACCAAATCAGCTCAAAGTATAACAATTGTATTCTAGATAAAACATACACACATTTTTGCAAATATATAATTAACATGCAGAGTTAATACCATTAAAAATAATTCATGAAGGAATGCTTGAAAAAATATGACATAACTTTTTCTATTAATATCTTATTTTCACCTTTTAAAAATCACAAACTAACCACACAATACTTCAATAAATAGAAAAACACTATTTGTAAAGACCAAGTACACGGTTCTGTTGAAAGAAATGTAAAGTTATTTACCTGAAAGTCATCGTAAGGGAAGAGCAGCATCTCCCTTAGGCAGTCATTCAGGATCTGAGTCTTCTTCTGGACAATGACATTTTCATAATCTAATGGCTCAATTAGCTTTGGCTTTGCCTGCAAGGCAAAAAGGGAGACATTCTTATAGACAAACGCAATTTCTTAAGATTAAAGGGCTTAATACGTTCTACTCTGTTTTGTATTTTCTACAATTATACTATACTAGTTTTGCTATTAGAAAGAAGACAAAAATAAAAATAAAAGTTATTTTCAAAGGGACAAAAGATGCTTCCTAGAATCCTGTCTACAATGATGCACTGAACTCTGGTGGAGTTTCCAGTCATTTCCCAGGTCACCCTGACTAGATCTGTCCCCTTTCAAGGTTTAGGGTATTGCCAGAGCTATCCTGACCCAGTCAGCTATGACCTGGCAGTCAAAGTTAAATGCCCAGAATAGCTCCAGCCATGACACTGTCCCCTCCTGGCCCAGGGCCTAAATGCATTATTTCATATAAGACTACACAGAACACTTCTCTGAGTCTCAAAATATCCCTGTCCATCACAAAGTATCTATACTTACATACGTAGCATCTAAACATAGAAAAAGAATGAGTTGAACCAAAATCAGGCAAGTGGAGGAGAGAAGCTTATAGGTACACTCTAGAGGACAGGGGTATCTATCACTCACACACACTGAGTAGAAGAAAAAGGTAGGAAGTGGAGAAAGGGAAGAGAACATGCCTTTTCTAGCTATTCCCAAAGTTAGTCTTTTTGGTTAAAATCTGTTGTCCATTACTGCCACCTGTTTATGGATCACTTTCCACACGCAAGGCACCACTGGGCTAGGTTGGGGATAAAGATACACGTTCAGCTAACTTGAGAACAGCATGCCAAATGCTAAAACTCGACACGTACATAGAATGTTATCAGAAGCAACCAAGTCCATTACATCAGTAGTTACTATAAGATTATTTCTGAAACTATTAATTGAAAAATCATCTGATGTACAAATCTCAAGAAATGCTGTATATATTTAAAATGACAATTTATATATGGCAGCTATGACAGATGTCCAGAAAATAACCAGCCATGTAATATAAAATATAGTTTTAACAATGGCTGGATACTTTTCAACAGCCCTCTACATTAAAGATACCTGGTATATGGCATCTAAGTAGATAACCGTGACCAAGCTGTTATGTGTTCCTAAAACCTGACTCCTTTTCTTTCTTTTTTTCTTTTTTTTTTGAGACAGACTCTCACTATATCACCCTCTGTAGAGTACCATGGTGTCACAGCTCACAGCTAGCTCAAACTCTTGGGCTGAAGCGATTCTCTTGCCTCAGCCTCCCAAGTAGCTGGGACTACAGGCACCCCTCACAACATCCTGCTATTTTTGCTATAGTTGTTATTTAGTAGGCCTGGGCCAGGTTTGAACCCACCAGCCTGATATATGTGGAGCTACAGGCTCCAAGCCCTGACTCTTTTTCTTCCCAGTACAGGTAGACACATTTCCCCATCTCCCCATGGCCTTGTATGCCTACATGAGGTCTCCTAACCAATGACATTTGAGTAGAAAGGATGTAGCCACTGCCTCATCTGACCCTCCCTCTACTTCTGCCAGCCATACACAAAGGATCCAGCAGGGGACTGGGAGGCCTGAGGAATAGATGGAGCTCAAAGACAAAAAGGTTCTGCATCCTGAACACCATGCACAGGGCTGCCTGCTTGAAATAAGCATGCAATATCCAGGGAGCAAGCACTGAAACCTCTATGGTGGCTCAGCCTCACCACTGAGACTACAGAGCTGTCTGCTGTGGTAGTCGGCCTGCTCTGTCTAATATATGTACAAATGCTCATATTTAACTGGACTCTACAAAGATGTTTTGACATGCTAAAAAAAAACTATAACAACAGTACAATTATTGTAATTAAGTAAAAGATGTGCTATAGACAGGAACTAAAATATGCATAATCAAAAAGCAAAGCCATAGACTAAAAAATCTAAGAAATATTTAATAGTAAAGTATAATTCCTATAAAAGTCTATAATGTTAAACTGTTTTTACATTCACAAAAGGCAAGAAAAGATTTATACAAAGTAATTATTATTATTATTTTTTTTTTTTTTTTGAGACAGAGTTTCACTTTGTCGCCCTGAGTAGAGTGCTGAGGTGTCATAGCTTACAGCAACCTCAAACTCCTGGGCTCAAGTGATTCACTTGCCTCAGTCTCCCAAGTAGCTGGGACTACAGGTGCCCGCCACAACTCCTAGCTATTTTTTAGAGACAAGGTCTCACTCTTGCTTAGGCTGGTCTTGAACTCATGAGCTCTAGGAATCCAGTGGCCTCGGTCTCCCAGAGTGCTAGACAGGTATGAACCATCACACCCAGCCCAGAGTAATTATTTTGCAAATAAGAATTGCCACAAAAATTAAAAATATTTCCAAAATATTTTAATTCAATGTTTAAAAAATGATTTGTTTGCCACACTGCATTTGGTAACCAGTAAATAAATGCTTACTGGCAAAATGAATGGATGATTTATAACATTTTTCTAACAAACAATGCCCATATTCCTAATAAAACCCAAATATGCACACAGCTTTCTAAAATCCCATTAACAAAGAGATCACGTGGACAAATATTGCAGAATGGGAAAGATAACACATTCTCTGCTGGTTTACAAGGTATCTGCCACATAAGCATGGGGAGGGACGCCCCACTCAGCAAGCTTTGCCACCATCCCATTAAGCCACAGCCACAATCTCCAACCAGGCCTGAGAGCAACCTAATGGGCAGAGTGGTGTTATGATAAAACTCAAGTCACAAAAACAAGCAACAGCCAGACTTAGCCCAAGGACATCATTTGCTAACTAGTGCTTTAAAGTTGTCCTTAGCCCTCAACAATTAATCCCTTCATCAATTTAATAATGCTTTATGTTAATTTTACATACTTATATGGGACCCTTAAATGTATCCAATGATTATTTCTCATCTATTTAACTAAACTTAGCTTCTTAAAAGGCTTAATAAAGAAAATGTTCATAAGTCAGTTTTGCCTAGCACACCAAATAATGCTTTGTTAATTAGATGAATTATTGCTTTCCCTTAAAGGTATCTGGGAGGCATCTAATGTCAGAATGTAATGTTGTGGGTATTGGTATTAACTCGCTTTTGTGTGCCAAAGGGTAACGTTCCAGTTGTCTTCACTCCACAATTTAATCATCGCAAGAACTGAGGCTAGAAACTGAGGCTTTCAAGGTGAACTAACCACCCAAAGTACCCAGCCCAACTGGATTAGGACACAGACTTTTGTCCAAAATAACTCTTCACCCATCCTGGCCTCCCTTTTAAGAGTCTATACTCACCAACACTCAACCCCAGTACGTGTGTGAAAGAGACTTGATAAGACAACATTTCTATTAAAGACGGACGATGCTGGCCTGGATGTGGAAAGAAGGGAACACTTTGCACTGCTGGTGAGATTACAAACTAATACCTCTATGAAAAGAAGTATGGAGAATTCTCAAAGAACTAAAAGTAGATCTTTGATTTGACCCCACAATCCCATTACTAGGTATCTACCCAGAAGAAAAAAAATCATTTTACCACAAGGACATTTACACAGGTTTATTGTAGCTCAAATCACAATTGTCAAGACATAGAAGCAACTCAAGTGCCCATCAGTCCATGAATGGAATAACAAACTGTTGTATAAGGTATACCATAAGGTATTACTCAGCCATAAGAAAAGATGGAGACTTGATATCTTTTGTGTTTACCTGGATGGAGTTGAAACACAAATATAGTCTAGTGAGGAGGAGGGGAGAGAAGGCAGAGGGGAGGAGGGAGGGAAAATGGCAGGATCTCACCTAACACTCTTGCAATATGAGGGTGTTCAGCACGCCTCCTGGGTGAAGGGCTCAACTACAACTTGAACTTTATAGAAAACAATGTAACCTTAAAAAAAAAAAAAAAATGGATGCTGCCCGTGTGACCTGGGAAAGCCCTCCATGGGCCAGATCCTCACAGAAGATTGGACTGTGAGAATGTGAGACTTACACAAACCCTAAGGAGGGTCACTTAATGAAGGAACACCTAGAGACCTGACAAGGCTTGAGCGACTGGTCTTCAGCAGCTTTGGGGACATGCAGGACAAGACAGACTCCAGGGAACAGAGGTCCCCAATAGTGGTTCACCTGCTGCCTAAACGAAGAATAAGGCAGATACCTTGCTTCAAATACCAATACCTGGCACATGCCTCCCTTCTACACATGGCCTTTGAGGTGAGAAACTACCAGAGGAAAAAGGCTGGAAAAGGGAGATTGGTGAGAGACCAGAGGGAGATGGGACCAGGAGACAGACCCCTGGGGTGGAGGAAGCAGGGATGGGGGCAACACAGGGAGGAAGAGAAAGAAGATATGAGAATACATGCCAGAAGAGAGGGGACTGAGAGAGTTGGAGGTGGGTCTGTGGGAGGCACACTACTGTATCTACTGTGTCATGGGTTAAGAGTATAATCACATATTTTCCATTCCTCTTAAAACTGATGATTCAGTGGTTTCAGCTGTTCACTGTTCTTCAACTCCACTAAGCTCTTTCAGGTGCTGGGGGTGAGGATAGCCCTTTAGGGTAGAGAACAGATTGGTCTGCAGCATGGCTGGTGGCAGGAATGTCACACTAATTGCAAAATGACACAGGCTAAATACCAAACTGCCAGTCCCTACTCCTGGTACAGAGAAGGCTTGGCACAGACTTAACGCATGGCCTTGGTTTTAAAGCCACTGCAGTACACTGAAGTTCAATCCTTCCTCAGGTAGGTAACAGAGCTCCCAGGGTGAAGTGCTTAATTTTCTACCTTTAAAAGAAAGCCAGAGTGACCCAAATGAAACACAGTGGGGAATGGAACTGCTCCAAGGCCATGAGCACCCCATGTGCTGTGTTTCCCTAGGTGTGGCAGGTGCTGGCTAAACTCCTCAGTGGTTCTAAGAGTGTATTCTCAGGAATAAGCAATTTGGCATTACCTGGGAACTGGTTACAATTGTAAATTCCAAGGTCCTTGCCCAGAGCCCAATCAGAAACTCTAGGAGCTAGGACCAAATACCTGTGTTTAAGTA